TACCCTTTACGAAACTTGTGTGGATGAAATTTAATGAAAATTATTACAGATGATATAGCTGCATGTGATTTGGGAGCTTCTTGTCATTTGTCATGTTTTCAATAAACACAATGCAGAGCAGAATCATCGATGGGATGCAATTGGCAAAAAAGTATATATGCAAAATCATTGTCCTCTTGTCAGTACGTAATTAATTTTCACCTTTTCATTATGTATTGGTTTTATATTCTTGATATTTAAAAATACAGGCAACTCGAGTTTGGTAAGGAATATTAATTAGTTTACATATTCGAACACTTACACCATTCTTCTTGGTATTAATATTTAGATTTTGCTTTTTAAACTTAGTTAAATGAATTACTTGACAATTAATATTATGCATTTTAACGCATTGAAAAAAAAGTTTCCTAATATAGTAATTTATGTTTTTAAGACATTCCTTTCCAAAATTTCTTAGTATTTTACTTGTCATTACTATTTTATTTCAATTTTTTTTTATAATATATCAACAAAGTAATTTTAAAATAAATAATATTGTTTATATAATCTGAAAATATAATTAAATAAAATCAAATAAAAAATTAACTTTTTTAAGAATTTAAAAAACCTCAAAAAAGAAAATTTTTTATTGTTCCCTACTTTTTCTTTTATGACATTATTAAAAATCTTAAAAAACCTCATATTTAACTAAATTATTTGCCATTTTGTCCATAACTGTGATAGCCATATAAAGGTGATAAATAGCAATCTGCTTCCGAATCTTGTGACCAAAAAATCATCAATGGTGAAAAAACCTCATATTTGACTAAATTATTTGTTATTTTGTCCATAATTGTGACCCAATATAGGTGATAAATATCAATCTACTTCCGGATCTTGGGACCAAAAAGTCATCAATGGTGAATTGACTTCTCTTTACCCTTGAGGTAGAAACCAAAATTATTATTATTGGTCCTGGCCGTAAGGACAGACAACATTTCAATCCAAAGAATGTATAGTGATCTTGGTGGGTGGAGTTATCAGAGCAGCTCTTCCTTATTCACTTTCAAGTCATAAGGGCCACAGTAACTATCCTGAAAAATGAACTCAATTATTTCGCTTGTTAGAGCCACAACTTGGTGTGGCAATTGTCCTGAACCAAACATCTGCCTTTCTTTTCCATTTCGGGTAGGATATGTCTAGCAATGGTGTTTTGATTCTCTTTCTCTTCTGAAACAAAATTATTTCTTTGATTTCAGAAGTGAAAAAAAAATTATATAAAATAGTTATATTTATTTATTTGATTTCGGAAGTAAAATAATATTATATGAAACAGTTATTTTATTTTAGTATATGTCATTTCTTTCTTTTTTTCCAAAGTAAAAATAGACAACTAATTGATTAGAAAATTTAGAAAACTGTTGGTTTTAACCTAAAAGTTTATAGGGTTACTAACACATTTTAATAGAAACTAAAATTGATCTAGATGCGTGTGAGAACTCAATCCCGCTAAATCCACAATCACAGAATTGATGCCGCCCTCACAAGTTTTTCATTGTTTGTCTCCGAGTCTTGATCAGAGACCTACACAGTAAAAGGAGAGACAATTATTTTTTGCCTTTCTAAACTGAAGTTATGAAACTCAATTAGCTAGCCTCGTATACATAGAGGTGAGAGCAGGGATCTCTCCAAAAATGTTAGTCAAAATTAACCCATCCCATTATAGGTCTAATTACAAAATTGAATCGGGATCACACTTAACTAAAATCATACTACTATTTAGGTATATTACAACATGGTACCACAATAATTACTTATTAATTGACATTAATTAATATGATCCGATATATAATGACTTTATTATTTGACCAATATGAGATAAATACAACAATCTTCCACTTAGACAACACAAGTCACTAAACCTGAATCAAGATTAACAAAATGGTCATAAATAGAAAATGTCAATATGAGTATATGCCCAAATTGTTATACAACAAAATGAGTATCTATAAGTCCCAGAATACTTTATATCAGTAGGGTATCAATGTGTGGACTTGCATGCTCTCTACAACCTAAAGGTATTCATAAGCTTTAAAATGTATTGTATTGATAGGATACATGTACGCAAACTTATGAATATTTTAATAGCAGTAAAACGAGACAACAACAAGTATTTATGAGCTCTATAATGTATCGTGCTAATAGATTATGTGTATACAAACTCATAAGTACTTTCAAAATAATACCATGATAGTGTAAAATAAAAATTATATGAAGGTAGAATCAATATCCATTTCTATTAAGTCCTTCGCATTTAAATCGAATGATGCGTTGCTTCGAAAGAAGCACATAAGACTAAACTTGAATGTCTCATCTAACAGAATGTGTGTAAACAGTATATATATATGGCAAATAGGAATTCATCAATCATAATTGCAATTGATTTCAATTACACTGAGCTCCCATTAACTCATTGCAACAAAAGGCTCTATAAACCTTAATAAGTGTTTGTTGTAAGGACATTTTAACAATTAAAATTAGCTAGTGGTCACACCAGAATGAGCTATGTAAATTTTTTTTAAAAAATTATTTAAATGAATTAGTTAACAATTAACATTATGCATTTTAACGCATTGAAAAGCAATTACCTAATATAGTAACTAATGTTTTTAAGATATTCCTTACCAAAATTTCTTAGAATTTTATTTGTCATTAGTATTTTATTTAAAAAAAAAACTCTAAGGCTTTTACTTGGTTAGACTTCTTACTCTACATGATCGAAATTTGAATGATCTTTAGTGAGGATGATGAAGTGCTTATATCCACTAAAAACAGTAAATGGAGGCGATCCACAATTGTCGATATAGATAAGTTCTTAAGTCAGTTCTTAAACTTCTCAACATCTGCTAATCATAACTGTATATTAGCAATAATATTTCTCTTAATGCAATCTACACATGTGCCAAATGTCCTTAATGTTTATGCCGCAATATGGTAAACTTTTCATCTATTCTACCATGATAGGAACCAATAACCACCTTGTTTACTATATGCACAACTGAAAAAGATAGCCCATATTTACAAATATCTTCCCTTGATTTGATTTTCGATTACTTGCTGGTTACTTGATTTGGCTTAACAAACACTACTATTGGTATCCAACCATGAAAAATAAAAAGTATGGCATCTAAATTGGATTTAAACGAAAAATGTTAACAAAATGCCTTGGTTCACTTTCCAATCAAGAAACATTTATAAATTGCCTTCTTGTGCTTGATTTATAACAATAGTGGCTCATATTCCAAAATTATTTGATTTCATGATTTTGATGCATTCGTGGAGCCAAAATGGAAAGTGAGCTTCACATAATTCTTCTTTTTAAATGATTTTTAATGGAACCTTTCTCAAGAATGTTTTGTTTGGTAGTGGTATTGACTCGTATCATCTAGATAATAGAATGAGATTGTCGACTTATAATATCTTTTCTTCTTGGATGGTTACAACACACAATATTTAAATCCTATATGTTTTCCTCTATATTTTATAGGCGGATTCCACACTATCACCCCTACAAGGAGGCTATTCAGAAATCTGCCACAATAAGAGCTAGTCCTATATTTTAACAATTGTCATTTTTAGAATGTGCTCACAGAAACTATCTACCTTATCCAACATGGTAATGGTGATCGATCTATATGGTTTGATATTTTAATCTTATGAAACTTTTCAAATTGACTCTTAAATGGCATCCTTAATTATCAGTGTACCGAACACTCTATCTAATGTGCTCCTTGATAGTGTACCTAAATGCCATTAGACAATTTCAATTAAAGTGTCTTTAGGAAGCACATTGTGCTTTTGTCCTCAATTGAGCTCAATAACATGGGTTTATAATCTGAATAGGTATTGAAGGTGATTAACTCTCTAGGCTATATCTGATTTATTATAAAAAAAATCATAGAGAGTGATTCATACTATTTATCTTAATGATCCTATTAAATGATTGTTGCTGATACAAAATTGAGATTGAAGGCTTTATAAAATAACTCAAAATAGTATTATGCATGTGAATAGAATCATGCCAAAATGGTTATTCCATTAAATTCTAGAAATAAAGATTTTTTTCGAAACATACAACAAGGGATAGTACAAAACTAATCAGATATAACCCTGAAATGACTTACTACTGACAAGGTAGCTAAATTACATTATACCACAATTAGAATCTTTTCATCCCAAGCATCCCTCAAGGTAATAATTAATCTGACAAGGAAGGTCTTACTACCTAAAGGAACCTTAGTAAATTTACAAGAGTTTTGCCTTATTATTGTTTGAAATAAATTATCAAAAAAATCTAAAAAATCTTTATGATCATTCCCATGACAAGTGGGTTCTAATCAATCTGATTAGTGATTTGTGTAATTTAAATTACAATAGAAATATGCAGAGCCTAAAACATATACTAATTTTTTTTTTTTGATAAAACCAAATAATTTGATTTACCATGAATATTCAAATAAGAAGGCAGTTTTATTAATTAAATAATTTTTTATGAAAATTTTAAAATAAAATCTTAAATTCTATATAATTTAAATATCGATCAGCTTAGGGATCACATTAATAATTATTATTATATATCTTAAAATTAAAGTTCAAACTGATAAAATGAAATCTTAAATTATATACCATTTAAATATCGATCCATTTGGGGACCACATTAATAATAATTGTTATATATGTTACTAAATACTAACCACTAGATAAAAATTTCCATTTTTGGGCCATTTTTTTATACAAGCAACGACAATTGAAAGAAAGAAAGAAAGAAAGTGGTGCATTTCAATTACGGAGAAAACAACATTTCAAATGAAAGTATAGTGATGGTGGGTGGAGTTATTAGAACATTTCTTCCTCGTTCAATTTGAAGAAAGTGAATTAGAAGGAAGATTGTTAATATTTTATTGGAATATATTTTTATTTAAAAAAAAAAATAGTATAAAGAAAGAGATCACCTAGTGAAAATGGCATTGACATTGGCATTGACATTGGCATTGCCAAGGTATATCGTTCACAGATCCATACAGAACGATTACCTGGGCTACATTCACGAAGATGGGCAGGCATATGGGTATCTCAGCTTCATGGAAACAAAGGCTGTGAGCCCATTTAGAAGATTTCAAGTGGAGGCTGCTAGCAAAGATGGCTTGGTGTACATAAGGAGCTGTCCAAACAACAAATATTGGGAACGAACCCAAAATCTTTCTATCACTTGGAATTCAGATGAGGAGTACTGGATTACAGCAACCGCCAACAAACCGGACGAAGACCAATCCAAGGAGTCGTGCACATTGTTCAAGCCTATCTGTGTAGACCCTGGAACGAATACGATCCGAATTATGCAAGTTCAATCAGGATTCTATTTATGCTTATGGCATACTGATCCACCATTTACTCGCAGCGTGTTGTCAAACTACGATAGTTATGATAAAAATAGCTGTGATCTCTTCACAGTTATTGATTGGGAGTCGTTGTTGATTCTGCCCAGGTACGTGGCATTCAAAGGAGATAATAATTTATATCTGCTTCTTCGTTCTATCGATGATCACCCATATTTACAGTTTAAAAGTGATGATATTGGTGTGTCACTTGTGGCATGCGAGATTCTCGATACTAAAGAGGGAAAAATCCGCATCAAGTCCATTTCTAACGGTAAATTTTGGAGGCTCAGCCCCGATTGGATTTGGGCGGATTATAATGGCACTAGCGCCAACGACAACGACATCTTGTTTCGCCCCGTCAAAGTTGACAATAAGAAAATAGGTCTTCTCAGTTTAGGCAACAAAAATTTTTGCAAGCGCATGACAGCTGAGGGAAAGAAGGACTGCCTTAATGCAGCTGTCGCCTCTCTTATCGCAGAGGCGCAACTAACGGTGGAAGAGTATGTCATGACAAGGACCATTTATAATGTCAGATATGATCTTGAAAGTTCCAGGATCTACGACGAAAAAGTCATTCTTGTGGCCAATAATTCTGCCAGTAACTATACTCAGCAATCCACCACTTTAGATGTGAAGCTTTCCTACACAGAAACTAAGACTAGTACTTGGGAAACTATGTCAACACTAAGGTTAGGTGTGAAAGCCACCGTCAACGCTCCCATTCCCAAAATTGGTAAAGGAAGGATTGAATTATATGGTGAAATTGAGAAAGGTCTGGAGTGGGGAGAGAGCTACACATCGACCATTCTTGTGGAGGTTGTAAACAAAGTTGTTGTGCCTGCAATGACTAAGGTGACAGTGTATCTAATTGCAACAAACGGTAAGTGTGATGTTCCCTTCTCATTCATTCAAAGGGACACTCTTTATGATGGAACCACTACGGCACTACCATAGCTAAAATGTTAGGTGGCACTTACATTGGTTCAAATTACTACAACTTCGACTTTCATGTCAAAGAAGAGAAGATCGCCTGAGTTGAGAAAGTAGGGTATTACAAAAGTTGTGTGTGTTGTGTTTGTGTGCATCCACTAAAAAAATCGTGCTTCCTTCATGGAATCAATGTCTGTTTTCTTATTATTAATCTATAATTAAAATGTAAACTGTATGCATAGCCCTGTGGCATCTCATGTACTTAATTTGAGAATAAATAAATTCATGTGTGGTGTGAGCTTTATGATTTTTGGAGATTGTCTTGTATTTGTCTTTTATGGTAGAGAAATAGATTAAAATGAAATGAAGCTTAACATTGTAAATTTAGCAAATTAAATATGAAATAGATTAAAATCTGGTAAAAAAATGAAGTAAAATAATTTAGAAAATCCATTAGAAGAGGGTAATTAAGAATTAAAATTGATATTAATAATTATTGTCCTTGATGCTCAAACAAAATTAATTAGCATTATCATGTCAAAACATGCTGTGAATTTGGTTGAGAACACGTTAGTTTTATGGTTTTTCCCTTTTAGATATGACTTTTTTGGAGCATTCAAAATTTCTCTGCTAACTGTTTTATTTATTTTCCTCATTATTTAATTCTAAAATTTATTTTACACCGCCATCGTATCATTCTGGTTCGTTTAGCCTAATTTTTTTCTGAATCTAATTATAAATTTATCAATTGTTTTTCCTTTTAGAACAGTTGAATTGTTAGGTACAAAATTGTCTTTGATTGGCTAAGTTTTTATAGAAAGTTGGATTGATGTTATTAATACCAAAACGACCTTGTAATTAGATTATCATACTTTATATGACATTTTAAACGAACATCGCCTACCGTTGATTATTAATCTAATTTTTGTGACTTGAGAATGCTGAAGATCTAATGGCATGGGATTATGTTATATTTAAAAATAAAAAATAATATAATTAAAAAATACACAATAATTTTTAATACTGATATAAAATTTAAAAATTTCACTAATAATAAATAAAAAATACTCATAAAAAAGCTTTTAAAAAAATATGCATAAAAGATATTGGATTGGGCCAACCATTGATGAATAAACTGACCCACAAGCTTTTATTAAGTTTGCCATCGAAGGCAACATTGGAGGCAACCTACATGACGTTGATCCAAGTCAACAGTTTTGGTCCAAAAAATCAATTTCATTAAATTTCATTAAGTTTAGGACAAGGGTTTTCCTTATGATGATCTTATGAATAACCATTTTGATTTATCCCAATTTTTAAAGAAATAATAATATAAAAGCATCATTGCAGCAAACATAAACTCGCAAGCAAGTTAGAATCAAGTATTTTTTATATCCATTTCATAGAAGTGCAATGAATATATCTTATATAAACATATATATATATATCTTTACATGTATAATTATTTTCAGTTTCAGTTCACTCTGATTAATACTATAGACAAGTAGATTAAGCTTTTCTTTTCTTTTTATTGAGGAATGAGAGATCCAAATCCTACAATGAGTAAAATAATCATGCATCAAATTACTGAATCAAATGCTAAGATGTTTTTGAATTTCCATGTATGATAGAATTACAACCATTTTCATATTAGATAGAAATTAAAACTTTTCAATTTGAAAAATCACAAATAATTTCATTAATCACTGAAATACTTGCAACTAAAAATGAGAATTTAAAATTTTCTTATGATTAAAAAAAAATTAAAGATACTACTTAAATGCAAGACTCTAACACATCCTTTTTGCACTCCAACATTTGATTCAAATAGTAGATTAATGTATTCCTTCCCCTAATTGAGAAAAAAAAATCCTTCATTTTCATTCTCTTTTTGTCTGTATTAAAACTGTTCAAGCCCAACTAGGTTTGGTTAGCACTTCTACCAAACGTTAAATCTCAAACTCAGGCATGTCCTGCTCAATTAATTTATATATATATTTAAAACATTTTTATATTTTTAATTAAATCAAAATTAAATAAAATTTATTTTTAATTAGTTTCTATCAGAAAACGAATATTAATTATTTCATATTGGAACACTTGCACCAGTTCTTCTAGGTATTAATATATAATATTTAGATATGCTTTCCAATCTTAAAAGAGTGGAGTAGTTAGTAAGTTTTGTTTTATCATCATTTGTTTGGTCTGATGATCTCTTGAATTCTTGATACTTACTGGTGCAGGATGTTTCTTTACTTATAATATTAAGGCAACTCGTTGGCTAAGAAATATTGGTAATTAGTTTATATTCGAACGCTTGCACCAGTTCTTGTATGTATTAATATATAATCTGTTATGATTAAGAGTTGAAGAGCAAAATAATCTTGATATGCTTTTGAATATTAATTTAGTGAGTACTTAGTTACATGAAGTAATGAATATTTTTTTTTAAAGTTTAACTGATTCAGGTTTTAACGATGACTTATTTTGAATTTATAGATGTTATTAAAAAATATGTTGATAATGAAAATCAAATTTAAAATTTTCAAACAAAATATTCAATCTTTATCTACTTAACCAATCACGTTGACATAAAACAATGAACTTTTAGAATATGAATAATATTCAAAATTTATCAAATTTCTCCAAGAACTCGCATAACAAACCAAACGTGAGGATGCCTAACCATCGAGATGATCTCTTCATCTCTATTCCAGAGGACGGAGCTAATATTTCAAAATCTACATCTCTAAATGATTTCGATTTTTCTTTTCTATATATAACATGATATATATATATATGTGAATTCTATACATCAGTACTATCATATTACAACCCAGGACAAAGGAAATTTTGTTGTTATATATGGTTTGCTAGCTGTATTTTTTTTTTTTTAATTCAAACTAGTAGAACTTCATTGATTTAACTGATTAATGTCCATCAATACGGTTAGAGTTAAAAATTCAGGAAACTCATCAATCGGGTGCATGTCCTCTTCAACCTGTGGACCATGTTTAGCCAGGGTATGGGCTGCTTTGTTACCTTCTCCTTTTGTGTGCCAAATCTGACATATATCATTCTTTTTGATATATTCTTTACTATCTTGTATGAATGCACTTATATTGCACAAAACTTCATTTTTCTGTTGTAGAGGCTTTAGGATTATCCAAGAGTCCCCTTCCATAACGATCTGTCTGAATCCCATTTGTAGAGCTACATCTAGAGCTTTGGTTGCTGCAATCGCCTCAATAATACAAGCCTCAATGACCCCGTGTACACCTATAGAAGCTGCTTCCACTACTTGACCATTCTGGATGAGATAATTCACACATGATGAATATATTAAATTATTAACCATAAATATTATAGAGAACAACGGAGGTAGTTAATTATTGGTCTGTCATTTTGTCCATAAGTGCGACAGGTGACAAATATATAATAAATATTAAATATTAAATATTAAATATTATCATCTCGAAATATTATCTTACTTAATCATCAAAAAGGGATCACGTCGTTTCCTCAAAAATAATATTATGTTAATTATTCGTTTCGATTGGGATGCGAAAAATCGTGGAATCTTTCACAAGTAGGACCCCATGACATAGGACCTGTCAATAATTTGTAGGGTTCAATTTTGAATTACAATTTAAAATATTTTTATTTACTTTCAATCAAAAACCTCAAAAAAATCAACATTATTTGAGGATATAGTCTAAGGAAAATATGTTATACGTTTTTTAAAATACTCATAAAAAATACTTAGTGTTTTTAATTAAAAAAAGTGTTTTTATTCTTAAAAAATAATTTTTGAGATATTAATGTATAAGTGATTAATATTTGATGTATTATTAATCAAAATAAATAAAAAACTTAAACAATCCAACATCATCATTTCAAAACCCCTAAAAAAGCATCTTTCTAGTTGGTAATTTCATAATTATTAAGTTATTATATTCTGTCTTTCAATTAATCATCTCCATTTCCAAAATTATAATCACCAAATTTAATTATACAAAATCTTGAAAATTAGCTCTATTGTTAATTATAGACATAAGCAAAATTGAAACAAGTAAATCTTGGACAACCAGCAACAGAGAACAACAAAAAAGGATGGGTTAGAAGACAAGTAAAAGGGACACATGCAACCACTACATGGGTGTTGTATGCAAGCGTAGCTGCTCCAAGGTTGGCACCGGAGCTCATGCTGCCGAACAGTTTGAAAACAAAAATATAGAGGGAAATTTTTTTTCCTATTCTTTATGCATAGCTTTTAATGAATTAGAATTGGAACGGCCTAGAAACAGGTGGTGGCGTTCAGAGCTTCTAAACCATCTTTAATTGCTTTCAACGTAAAAAATAATTATTTTATTATAAAATTTAGAAATCAGAGAAAGGATGTTCAACTTTACCTAATTGTAAATTATTATAATAGAATGTGAGTAAATTTGTATGTTGTTTTATGCTTATATTTCTTTCGGCACAATTCTTTTGGGTAATTTCATAAAATTTGGTCCATCGAATTAAAATAATTGAAAACGTATTTTTTGTTTTGGTGCAAGGCTCCGGATAAATGCAGAGCAAAGAAATTTAAAAAAAAAAAAAAGGATAATGAAGTGTTAATGGTCGGAATTGATGCACATGTTTCACATAATCACATGCACGCTCCGCTATCATCCAATTCCAAAGGAATAAAGAAATTTTGGATATAAATAGGTAACGTAGGTGGTTGTGATAAGCAAGCACAAGAGTGAAAAACACCAAGAGAGCAAATTCAAAGAGCTAGCGAAACATGGCTTTGGCCTTAACATTGGCATTGCCAAGGTATATCGTCCTCAAATCCAATGACAAGATCGATTACTTGGGCTACATCCATGATGATGGGGAGTCTAATGGGTATATCCGGTTCATGGAAACCCAGGCTGTGAGTCCATATGCAAGATTCGAAGTGGAGACTGCTAGCACTAATGGCTTGGTGCACATAAGGAGCTGTCAAAACAATAAATATTGGGTACGAACCAAAAATCTTTCAATCACTGGAAATCCAGCGGAGCAATACTGGATTACTGCAACCGCCGTCAAGCCGGAGGAAGACCAATCCAAGGAGTCGTGCACGTTGTTCAAGCCTATCTCTGTAGACCCTGCAACAAATGCGGTTCGAATTATGGACGTCCAATCAGGATGCTATTTATGCTTATGGCGGTTTAACAATCAAAAATTTGCTCGCTGCGTGTTGGCAAATTACAAAGTCTATGATCATAATAGCCTCGACATCTTCACAATTATTGATTGGCAGTCGTTGGTGATTCTCCCTAGGTACGTAGCATTCAAAGGAGATAATGATCAGTATCTGTGTCTTCGTCAGATCCAGGGTTACCCATATTTGCAGTTTTCAACTAATGATATTGGTGATTCATCCGTGCCATGCGAGGTTTTCAACACTAATGATGGAGACGTCCGCATCAAGACCATTTCTTCCGATAAATTTTGGAGGCGCAGCCCAAATTGGATTTGGGCGGATTCTAATGACGTCAGCAGTAACAACAAGGACACCTTGTTTCGCCCCGTCATAGTTAACAATACGACAATTGGTCTTCTTAACTTGGGCAACAATAATTTCTGCAAGCGCCTCACAACCGAGGGAAAGACGAACTGCCTTAATGCAGCCGTCCCCAGTGTGACCAAAGAGGCCCAGCTAACGGTGGAGGAGCCTGTCTTGACAAGGGACATTTATAATGTCAAATATGATCTTGATAATTCTAGGGTCTACGACGAAAGAGTCCTCCTTGTTGCCAAGAATTCTGCAGATAACTATACCCAGCAATCTAGCACTTTAGACGTGAAACTTTCCTACACAGATACCAAGACTAGTTCGTGGAAGACTATGTTTTCGCTAAAGTTAGGTATGAAAACCACCTTCGACGTCGGCCTTCCACTCATTTTTGAGGGAAAAGTTGAATTATCCGGTGAAGTTCAATCAACTACCGAGTGGGGAGAGACCACGACATCAACCTCTGTTGTGGAAGTTGTCCACAAAGTTACTGTGCCTCCAATGACTAAGGTGACGGTACATCTAATTGCAACAAATGGTAAGTGTGATGTTCCCTTCACATTCATGCAAAGAGACACTCTTTATAATGGAGCCACTGTTACGACTGAAGTGCAAGGCGGCACCTTCACTGGTTCTAATTACTACAACTTCCACTTTGAAACCAAAGAAGAGAAGATCACGAACTGAGAAAATACTCAAAACTCCACTTGGGCACAATTTGGGAATTACAAGGATTGTGCGTGCTTTATCTGTGTGTGTGCTGTATCCACTAAATAAAATTGTGCTTCCTTCATGGAAGCAATGTTTTTTTTCTTATTATTAAACTACAATAAACATGTAAACTGCATGCATAGCGCAGTGGCATATCCTGCACTTTAATTTGAGAATAAATAAATTTATGTGTGGTGTTATTTTATGTGATTTGGATATTATTTTGTATTTTTCTTTATGGTAAAGAAATAGATTAAAAATGTAAATTTAGCACATCAAATATGAAATAGGTTTTAATTTGGTAAAGAAGATGACGTAAAATAATTTACAAAATCCATTAGAAGTGAATAATTAAGAATTAAAATTAATATTATTGTCCTTGAGGCTCAAACAAAATTAATTTGTATTTCCGTATTATCAGGTAAAATCTTGCTGTCAGTTTGGTTGAGAATATGTTAGCTTTGTGGTTTTCCCCTTAAGGTACAATTTTTTTTAGAGCATTGAAAATTACCACAATAACTATTTTATATATTTTTCCCTTATTATTTTAATTTTAAATTTTATTTTGTAACTGTTTATTTATTCAAATTCTTTTAGACTTGTATCTATTTTTTTAAATCAAATTATATATAATATTATATTACAGCATATATGCTTATTTGATAAGGTTTGCTTGCATGTAATCTTATGCAGACAATCTATACTATTGACACATAGGATAGTTCTTTAATTGTAATTGATCACTAAATAATCATATTATTTAAATTTAAAAGATATTTCAAATCATAAAAAATTATATTTATCCAAATTTTTTATGTTAAATAATTTATAATCTTTATATTCATTTAAGTGAGATAAGATTATTGAGATCATTCCAATGAAAAATAAAAATAAAATCTCATTTAAAATTAACCTAAGTATTTTTTATATAAAACATGTAAATATTATTTATCTTGCATTTAAACTATATAAGTACATTGTAAAACAATTTTAAACCTTTGGACTTCATTTATTTATTTATTTATTATTATATGTTATGTAAAGCATGAATATATTTAAATAGTGCATTTTTATTATTATATTTGTAATATATGTTTTCAATATTTTATTTTAAATTAATTGATTTTTGTATGATAGTCAATAAAACTAAATGCTTGCAT